ACTTACTTGTATGGAGTCGTTCGCCATCGCTGTCCCTGTCGCTCTGTTGTCAGCCAGTTTGCCGTTTCAAAGACAACCTGTGCACATGTGGGATTTATACCTCGCGTCAACGTATTGTCTCGTCTCCAAGACAATAGAGCGAAATGAACCGGGTGTTCGTCCTGTTAAGTGTTATCTCAAACTTTATACAAACAGTGAGAATTGACACAAAGGCAAACAGTCAAGAGGTAATCCGCATTGTTGGCTTGCCTGGCCGCGCCTGAAATGATCCTCCCTTTAACCAACGCTAGGTCTCACTTCACAAAAATAAAATGCGTTCACTGCCTTCACGTTAAAACAAAAAAAATCGCATAAAGCATCCAGACAAAAACTATTATAGCTCAACAGTCATTGTTCATCCTGCTATTCAACAGCTAGCAGGAACCCCATAAAATCCATCCGCTGCTCCGTCATGTCCTGCTGAACCCAGGCGGATACAAAGTCACATCCACAGGCAACAGGGAAATAAAAGAAAGCCTCTTCTCCCCTTTTCCCGGTAACATCCGTGAACACGCCTCAGTCTCTTGTCCTTATCACAAGCCACACAAAAAAGCCGCCTGTCAGTACTTCACGAGCCCCTCGTACAGTCAAAACGAGGGACAATAGGGAGCTAATCTGTCCGTTAAATATCCCTCTAGCTTTAGTAAAAAAAAGCGCAAACATTTAGAAAAAAGCCCATTCTCAGTCACAGTGCACGGGATGAGTGCAGACACCGTGTCATCACATTCAAACAGCGGGTACGGAGAGCAGCACACACCACTTGTACGATAAACCCTGCAGCGCGCTACGGATGCTAGAGCAATGCCGCCTGGGCGTTCATTGGTCCAAGGCTGGGCCACGGGAGCGCGCCCGGATGTGTCATGTGACCTTCGCTAGCCATCGTGGTCAACTGTAAACTTCCAATAAACCAACTGTTGAACAAAATGTCAAGTTAGGCACTCAACAAGCAACACAACAAAGTGGTGGAACTTAGATCTTATGCTTAAGTAGAAGTAGCAACACTAGTTTGTTAAAATACTCTTTTACAAGTAAACATCTTGCATTACAAATCTTTCTAAGGTACAAAAGATATTAGCATAAAACATGTACTGACAGTACTCCAAGTAAAAGTACTTGTTATGCAAGTTATGTCACATTCCACAACATTACGTATATTTTGTTGTTAAACTATAAATAATAATGTATTAATGTGTTCAATTTGATGTTGCGGCTGGTAAAGGCAGGGCTAATTTTAGCATTATAAACTTTTCATTGCTTTGACTAATCATTATGAAGTAAATTGTTAATCACACATTGTCATTGCTATAGGAAATCCATTTAGATGGGTTTATTAAAGACTTGTTTTGGTATATACAATTCTGTCTTCCACCAGGTAAGATCTCCAGGGAAAATGAAGGCAGAATTTACGGCAGAAAGAAAATGAATTAACCATTGTGCAAATTAACAACACAACAGGGAAAGCATTAGTCTTGTGTATTAGCATCTGATCCAGTGATATATTGGCCGTATCACTGGATCACTTTAAGTTATTTCAAGTAATCCTGAGGAAGACATGAATGTCTGTAAAAGAATATCAAGGGAAACCATCCCAAAGTTGTTGACATATACAGTATATACTCGTAATATGGTTAGATGATGTTACGATTGAGTAAGTGGGTGTCATTTGTAGATATGATCGAGAAGTTGAACTGGACACATTTGCATAACTGGTTTGCATAATGAAAATTAGCCGGCAGAAAGATATGACGGACGCAGGAAGAGGGAGTTACCCCAATGTTCCAGGATACAAACTACACATCCTTCTATATATATATGACATGTCTACTATCAGAAAGACCGACAAAACAAAACGCTGAGTCACTTACAGTCAGCACTAGTCAGAGTATGATTGACTTACTGTGAGTAGAAAAGAAAGTTACAAATGCATCCACACAAATTGATTCTGTGGATGTCGATAAGGTAGTAATTATTTATCAGTGACCAGGGGCCTCATTTATAAAGCCTTGCGTAGGATTGGCGTGGGAAGGTTGCTTACGTAGGACAAAGCAAATAAATACGCACCGACACTTTCCGATTCATAAAAGACTGTGTACCGGCGCAGGACTTTTCTTAACAAGAGAACATAATCGAGGGGTGATCAATAACATTTCCGTATTTATTTATTTCTCCAAGTTATGTTTTTGTGTGCACTGAGGAGTCTCAAACAGGCGTTTGTTAAATCATTTTAAGATTGGCTTTAATCAATTTGTGAAAATGAATTCTTCATATATGATAAATGAGAGAACATTCTATTTATGGTATTATTTCCACATATTTCTCTCCATTCTTCCTTCTGCCAACGGTGTCGCAGTTTCTCTTCTCTCCCCTTTTTGTGCTTAGTGCGTACGCATGGGTCAGAGTTTGCGTGGAGGACCGCACATTTTCCCGTCAAGTTAGTTTTTTATAAATCGCAAACAGTGCGTAAAAACTGGCGTATGCCATATTTTGTGCGTACGCACCGTTTATAAATGAGGCCCCTGATATTTGGGTTACAAAAAACTTCGAAACAAGCAGATGAACTATCGTTATAACAAAAAACGTATTGTATTTTCTAATTCAAAAGGGAAATTATGCAAAATATACATATTTTAAATTAATGAGCTCTATGTTATACATGTTGACATCATATTCAATAAACAGAGTAACTAATTATACATATGACACTTGTATGGTTTATTTACAAGTTTTAAAAAAGATTATTTTAAGCAAAACCCCAAATTTGACAGAAAGTAATATAGTTGTTGACTATTCAATTTATCTTGCTAAACAAATCAGTTTTTCGTAATTTTGTTAAAAATGTTTGTATTGAGTGTTTTTCTTTTTTTACTGTTGTCCCCTAACAAAAGCAAACATTAGACATAAAGATATTTACTTCTCTTTTTATTATTGTTGCAATGCATTGACCTTTGACCTGTCACACCACGATGCAATGACGATGGAACCAAGGTAACTTGTCATTACCCGATCCGGTTCTGCACATCTGCAAATACGCCGCTACTTCCCATGATGCTTACTGAAAATATGTGGAAGCAATTTACGGCACTTGTCTTGGATTTAAATAACATAATGTTATCTTTGGTTTGATTAATTATATAATAAAACACTTAAATTGGCCAAAGAAAGAAAGAAAAATGAATCTTTAAAAATAATATATAACATTTATTTGTTTAGGAAAGCTTATGGAGATCATTTTATCTTTATAACAAATCTCTAGTAATAAATTGATAAAATATGTTTAGTGTGAATTTTATAACAGACTAAATCCAGTGGTCCACTTAAATGTTATTGTGTTCAATTATCTTAACTTCAAATATGTACATTGGTAAAGTACTAGTGAAAGAAACTGAGTATATGTAATCAAGCATTGTATCTAAGTACTTTTTTTGATATATTTCTACTTTACTTGGGCATTCATTTTATACGAAATGTAGTTCCACTCAACTACATTGCAGAGGCAAATATTTTACTTCAAGATTACTCCACGACATTTATTTGAACACTTACAGTTACTAGATACTTTGCACATATATAAAATACCTGATATGCTGATATGGTATATTGCAGTACTGTAGGCATACCAGTCATCTACATAGTATTTGTAGTATCTAAATTTGGTCCACGTTTTCAAACTACAAACATACAATTGAATGCCCTTACATTTATAATAACAGGATAATATAATTACTTCTTCCATCGCTGAATAAATATAGTATACCATTGATATATATTTCATTGTTCATAGTTGAATGACTTTAACAAGCAATTAAAGGTAGGGTAGGTAAGAATGAAGAAACCAGCTCGAGTGCATGGATGTATGCTCGAGTGCGCTAGAATTTGAAAGTACGCAGCCGAAAAAAATCTGCCCCTTCATTCAGACTTCCTTACAGAGCCCCTCCTCCAACACACACGAACGCGCACATGACCAATGAGGGCACGAGATAACTTTGTGCACGAGATGGAAGGCTGACAGGCAGGTAGGCCATCCAATTATCTGAGCCGGCCGTGCTTTTTACAGCGCCACGGCTTCCACAGATGAAATATTTGTATATATTTATTGTCAAAGCATTTAATGTATTCATTGCTATCGGGATGTTAAGAGCATTCGATGGAATATAACAAAAAGTGTTTCTGAAGTGAATTACCTACCCTACCTTTAACTAGCTTTTCTTTGTTAATAAATGACGAAATGAGCTCAATATTTTAGACATTCTTGACCAAAACCAGAGAGAAAGTACTTATTTGAATAAGGACCCATTTAAGTATTTTATTTTACAACTAACCAAACCAAAGATAACATTATTTTTATTTGTAACCCAGAAAAGCGCCGTCAATTGCTTCGACATACTTCATCACGGGAAGTAGCGGGCGCGGCCTATTCCCCCCCATGCGTCTGTTCCCCTGTCGGTGAGTTTCCGGTACAGATCGGGTAACGACCAGGTAACGACATAACTGTTAGCTCAACTAGCTACATAGCTAAAGTTAATTATGAAATTGTTTAATTAAACTGTCTACAGCGCTATCAAATATTTATGATTTTGTAATTCGGTAAAAAACCCAGCCGAATGGTATGTAGTCGATATCTCGGGTTGTTTCTGTGCTACAACTTTAGTCTGTTGCGAGCTGTAAGCTAAAGTTAGATAGTTTATTTTAACTTTATTCAAGAACATATATGAACATCATTTATTATGTATACAAAAAATGTCGGTAGACATATAAAGTAATAAAACATGACATGAAATAAATGAACAGTTTAATATTTCAGATTACATATTTGCTACAGTTAGCTAGTTAGCATCAACGTTGTTTGGTGAGTCAACCGGGATGACAGGTCTTTCAGTTTATAACCGCTCGAAAATAAGAAGTTAACTTGGCGTTTCATTTTCATCAGGTTTCCCAAGAAACACAAACTTACCGCAGATAAAATGGGAGATGTTGAAGTTCAGGTCCAGGTCCCTTCCGACTCACCGACAGGGGAACATGAGTGTGGCGGCCTGCAGGAGGACATGAGCGGCGAGAAGCAGTCAGACTGCCCGGAGACTCCTGAAGACACCGGACATGGAGGTCTAATACATTCCCAGGCATTAACCCATTAACTAATGCTATAAAACATGGATGTGTAGGCAGAAGTGGGAGAAATACTCAGATCTTGTACTTAAGTAAAAGTAGAAGTACCACCGTTTAGGAATACTCTGTTACAAATAAAAGTCCCGCATTCAAAATGTTACTCAAGTAAAAGTATTAGCATTAAAATATACTTAAAGTACCAAAAGTAAAAGTACTCATTATGCAAATGTGCCTTTTTCAGAATAACATATATGTGTTGATTATAATAAGTGATGCATTAAAGTGTTTATCAAAGCTGGTGCAGCTAGTTTGAATTACTTTGTATTCTGCAGGGTAGCTTGTGAATTTACTCCAGGTTTTATTTAAGTCTTATTTAAGTGTTGATTAAATATTTCACATTATTAATCCACGGCAAAGGTATTCCATAAATGTAGTGGAGTAAAAGTTCACTATTTACCTCTGCATTGTAGACGGGTAGAAGCACAAAGTAGCAACACATGTTAATTCTCAAGGAAAGTACTCTACTTAAGTACATCTACTTAGTTTCTTTACACAACTGTGTGTAGGTTATTATTTAATTTCACCTGTCATTCACTGTTGATGTTTTTATTGTCGTTACAGAAGTACTTAACCCCCTCTTTGGTTAATGTTCCAGTTATTAGTATTCTTGAAATTAAATGAGAATAAGAGAGTTAGAGTACATGTTGTGTTTTTGCTTTGTCTGATACTGTGCATTCATTAGAGGTGGAGGAGCCCCTGACTTGGTTGCCTGTGGCTCTGGCGCCCCCGTGTGGAGAGCATGCAGCCTGCAGCTGTGCAGAGGTCAGGTGGATGGAGAGGAGCCTCGAGGCCATCGAGCTCCAGCTGCAGTTCCTCATGAGCAAAGCTGATGACTTGCATGACTGCCTCGTCAATGGGTATTTAAATACATTTGTTTATTTAAAAGCGACGATGCAATTTCACATAGTTTCGTGTCTTTGTAAATATCTAGAATTAGGCCTCTGACGCTAGAAACTGAAAACAAAAGCATGTTAGATGTCTCATTTAGATGGTGATGCTTGAGCCCATACTGTCAAACATGAACAACAACAGAAGATCACTGGCATGGTCCTGGCTATTGATAAAGGCTCAATTGTAACCTTGGTGTTTCTGCTATTTTTATGTATTTGTGTGTGTTTTTACAGACAGGGTCCTCTAGAGAGGGAGGCTCTTGCAGCTGCAGTGCCACGTTTCCTGTACACCTGTCAGCCTTACTTTAACTACCTGGAATCCACAAGCATCGTGTCGCAGCGCAGCCCTGTGCATTTTGACATATACACAAGGGTATGAGTTTTTTCTGATGGCCTGATCCCACAACAAAATAAAATACCTATTTCCTCACCAGTGGCATTAAGCTACGCTGATTTTTTTTCTCAAGATTTGAAACCAACATTGGTACTATTTTCTAAGATAAAATTATCTTTATGGAATCTGTTTGCAGGAAGGTCTGTCGATTATTCAGAGTAACAAGAACACCGTTCATGATGTTGATTAAATCATTCGCAGGCTGAGGTTTTAGATTTTTGTAATTTCTAGTATCGTGCAACATATTCTTTGTGTATGTATTTTCTGTATGAACTTTACTTCATCTATATTCAATATATACTCTAGTTTTCTAAAATAGTTTTTTTATTCCTTTTTTATTTTTATGTATGTATGTTTTTGTATACACCAAAAATGTATTGCCCTACTTGGCAACAAACCTGTTTCTGATTTATTTAGCCAGCAGATTTTGATAGCAAAAAAGTGGTCACTGTCTTACACAATATCTGCATTTCTTGTTTCAATAATTATCCTCTGATTCAGACTTTATAACAAACATAACTTGAAATGTTATATTGTTTTCTAGCTAGCTTATTTTTAAATGTGTATAACACAACAACCTCACACCCTCTCTCAAAAGTTGCATCCTGGGAATAGCTAAATAGGGCTTTAGTTTCTCATGTAACCAATGTTCACAATCATTTAAAAACTCCTGCAGGTTAACAGAGGGCCTATCCTGTATCATATGCTGAGTGAAACGAAGGTTTTGTCTTCTCTGTTTAAAAACAAAATGTCAAATGGCTTGAGTCTAAACTTCCTGTGTGTGTGTAGCGTGTGCAGCTGTTGGACTTCTCTCAGCAGCTGTGTGACAGGCTGGAACAGCTGGTGTTGACCTTCGCCAGCTGCAATCTCTTCTCGTTGGACGAGACTGAGCCTAACAGGTACACACACCACACACACACAAAAAACACATTCTTCGTATTCATCTTTGAGTATTTTGATAACATGTGTTGTGTGTTTGAGAACAAAAACATGACATAACAGGAAGTCTGAATGTAATGATTATTTTTGGTTTTCCTTGGGTTTCCCCCCACACGACAGTATTTTGTATCATAAATATTGTTAATTCAATACAATGATCCGCGTTGGACTTACGAGCAGATTTAAGGATGCAAAAATAACACCTAACATACCTTACCCTGTTGTAACAGGGGATTTGGGCATTGCTAAATGTAACCCCCGGTTACTAAGACACTGAGAAATAACATTGACTAAAATGTCAACTTTATTTTAATGCTTAGCACTACATACACAAATAATATAAATTATTTGAAACTAAAATAGAAACAATATAGATACACAATATGCAATTTAGGACAACATGATTTAGACAATTCTTCATGAAAACATTTAAATGAGTGTGATTAGATAAATCCCCTGTCCATCTAAAGTGGTTGTAAAGCAAGGCTAAGCCAATCAAAGTTTAGACCCGCCCCGTGTCTGCTGTCTAACAGGAAGTGAGATGGCTGTTTATCCTTTTGGGATAATGACTCAGCAGCATTAGCTCTATAGATTTTAATTGTAGTTATTTTAACAACTTTTCACTTAGATTGACCGACTTTTCTACTTTTCCCCAAGAGCATTGCCTCTTATATGATACCCTTGGTCGGGTCTTTTTTTTGTGTGATGTGAAGGAGATTTTCTGGATTCTTTGACTGGAACGCTGCCCTCATCTCTGCTGGTGTACTGTGGTGAATTTCAGTCTGGCGAGCTACCCATCGACCTATCTAAAAGAAGAGAACTATTACAGTTACCCACCACGATAGTAGGACAAGAACTTGTGCATCTTTTCCTCTTCACAAGTTGAGAGCCAAGAACTGATTTGATTATTGATTGTGTGATACTATGTTGAATATGTTATAACTATATGTGTATAGAAGTAATGTGATAAGTTTTCTTTCATTTTATTTAAGAATCTGAAATAACATTTCAAATACAGAGTCCTGGTTCCCAAAATTAGAATATATAGCTTAGCTACTAAATTTAAATAAAACCATTAGTTTATATTAAATAGGGATAATTAAAACAGAAGTAACAACACTAAATGATACCAAAATAGTTATAAAATAAATAGGTACAAATAATTAAAACCAGGATACTCTCAAATTCAAGGTAACTGAATATATTATGTCTTTAAAATGTTTATCTGAAAGAAAGGGAATAAATATTATAGCTTTCTGTACCTTTTCCAAACAACGTCTGCTTTGTGTCTTTTCACCTTTGTTGCACAGTATCCATTTTCTCCTGAGCAACCTAGACTTCTGATGTGCTGGTCCACACACTGAAATTTTCTACATTTATATTAGAGAGGTTTGATCGAAACTGATTCGTATAAATAATTCTGTGCTCAGCATTCATATTTGGTGCATGTGTTACAGAAAAGTGGCGAGCTAGCCAGGATATATTTGGTTTATTGAGTGGTATTGGTGAGGACACAAACATATAAAAACTACCATGGAGTTTATTAAGGCGGCTAATATCAACATTCAGAACTCTATTATCATTAATGGGTCCCCTAATGTACAATCTGACAAAGAATTAGATAAACACCTTAAACAATATGGCTCTATTGCTAAAATGGTTAGCATTGATGCTCCTAATACAAAGTTTCATGAACATGTAATAGTAGAATACACTGATGACACAGCGATGCAGATACTTAAACCCCTGTTGCCAAGCACATTCCAGCCTGATGTTGAGACTTTGTACCACCTAAGAGCACTAGCGGATGTGTATGCTCCTGAAATAAGCAGCACCACTACTGAAACCTACCTGGAGCAGTTGCAGGCAGTTGCACAAGTAACTGGCAAGACACTTGAGGAACTCCTTGTAAAGAACTTGCTAAACTCAAGGCAGCCAGCGGTGATGCTCCCACACTACAGAGAACTGATGAAGCTCTTGAGACGGATTCCACACAAAATGTTATCAGGCAAGTACATTCCTCGCCCGACAGTCATGACCGTCGCTGTGAGCACAAGCTTACTGCAACGCCCTTGGCCTTTGATGGTGAGGCAGCACGTCCTGCTATTGGAGTAAAGAACCCTTCCAGCCTCAGGATTGATGATGTTAACCCACCTGAAATACAGAGAGTTGTGGTGGAGCACATTGTAAGGAATGCAGAAGCATCTTATCCTGCTCACACGTCTAACAGACTCAGATCCTTCTCTGGGAAGTGTCCTTATCCCAGCAGTGAAGTGGATTACGACACTTGGAGAGCGAACCTTGAGCTCATTCTTAAAGACCCGGCCATATCTGATCTACACAGAGCAAGAAAGATACTTGAAAGCCTTCTATCTCCTGCAGCTGATATAGTGAAGCAGCTAGGCCCTCACGCTTCTCCAGCTGACTACTTGCAGCTGTTGGATTCTGCTTTCGGCACTGTTGATGACGGCGAGGAGCTTTTTGCAAAGTTCATGAATATGCTACAGGATGCCGGGGAGAATCCCTCCCACTACCTGAATAGGCTGCAGGTGATTCTAAGCCAGGCTGTGAAAAGAGGGGGTGTAGCACCTGCAGAACAGAATGAACACTTACTGAGGCAATTTTGCAGAGGTTGCTGGGACAGTGCTATGCTAACTGCTCTTCAGTTGGATCAGAGAAGACATAACCCACCATCTTTTCCAGAAGTTCTGTTGCTCCTGCGTACAGAAGAAGAGAGGCAGGCTGCAAAAGCAGTTCGGATGAGACAACATCTTGGAGCCCCAAGGCAACGAGTTGCAGCACATCTTCAATGTGCCTGCGCCTGTGAAGGAGATAATAACATGCCATCGCAGCAGCAGAATTCCACAGTGGACACGCTGTGTGACACCCAGAACTTGAAAAAACAAGTGGCAGGCCTTCAAAGTCAAGTAGCAAGCCTTAAACCACAGAACCGCCACAACCCCAGATCCCAGAGTAGTCCCTCCCAGCTTGATTCTCTTGTCCAAGATTTAAAGAAACACGTAGCAGAGCTACAGAGTCAGATATCAGCCCTACAAGCACAGACCCCTCCTTTCCCTACTGTTGTTGGAGCAAATTCACATCAGAGGGCAAATAACTCTTCGACCGCTACAGCCAGAATACAGCACGGAAGGCCACGTCCCTGGTATTGCTTCCGCTGTGGTGAGGATGGGCACATTGCACCAAATTGCAGTGAGGCGCCTAATCAAGCATTAGTTTCCGCCAAGAAGAATCAGTTGCAGGAAAGACAAGTTCTATGGGAAACCCAAGGCAGCTCTTCCAACATCCAGTTAAACTAGAATCAGCTTCGGTCACGGGACTGATGGGAGCTGGAGAACATCGACAACGTCCCCAGGGCAAGCAAAGAGCTAGCCTGAGGCAATCCTCTACTTATAACTGGGGTTACCTACCAAAAAGGTTAGTGGGAACCAGATGTACTGCACAAGTTCTTATTGCAGGAGAGGAGTGCAGCTCTTTGTTGGACACAGGATCACAGGTCACTACCGTCACCCAGTCCTTCTATGAACAGAAGTTGGCCTCAAAGACTATTCACCCCTTAGACGACCTACTGGAAATTGAAGGCGCTAATGGCCAGACAGTCCCGTATAAAGGTTACATAGAGCTCAGTATAACCTTTCCAAAGAGCTTCCTTGGTTCAGACATTGAAGTACCTACCTTAGCCCTTGTGGTTCCAGATTGCCGTGCCATGACCTCATCACCAGTGTTGATTGGCACCAACACATTGGACGTAATGTACGAACAATACATTGAGACAAACCCTGCTCACCACCAACCATCTCCTTATGGCTATCGAGCAGTGCTGAAAACACTTGAACTAAGACAGAAGCAAGTACAAGACGGCAACCTGGGATCAGTGAGACTGGAAGGGAAATCGCCAGAAGTCATCCCCGCAGGACAAAGAGTTGTACTGGAAGGAGTGGTAAATATCCACAGTGCGCACACAGAGAAGTGGGCCTTAATGGAGCCTCCATCCTCAAGCTTCCTTCCAGGGGGCATAATGGTTACTTGTGGTTTACTCACCCTGCCAACCAGGGCGCCTTATAGAGTACCAGTAGTGCTAACCAATGAGACACAGCATGACATTCAGCTGCCACCAAGAAGTGTCTTGGCTGAGCTCAACGGCATACAGCAAGTGCTCCCTGAAATAGGAAAAACAAAGACTGGAGATCCTACAGCTCATCAGCTTGACCCATCCAAAGCTTCTCCAAAGACATTCAACTTCGCAGACTCCCCAATTCCTGCAGAATGGAGGGAGAGAATAGAGCAGAAGTTACAAGCTATGCCAGATGTGTTCTCACAGCATGACTTGGACTTGGGAAGGACAGACAAAGTGAAACACCACATCAACCTTCATGATGAGACCCCTGTCAAGCAAAGAGCTCGTCCCATTCATCCCAATGACATACAAGCTGTCCGCAGACACCTCCAAGAGCTGCTGGACGCAGGAATCATTCGAGAGTCTGAGTCTTCTTTTTCCTCTCCTATTGTAGTAGTCCGGAAAAAGAATGGTGACGTGCGGCTCTGCATCGATTACCGCCGATTAAACCTACAGACAGTAAAGGATGCCTATGCCTTGCCAAACTTGGAGGAGACCTTCAAAGCACTGCATGGATCTAAATGGTTCTCTGTGTTGGATCTCAAGTCGGGATATTACCAAATCGAAATGGATGAAAGAGACAAGGCAAAGACTGCTTTTGTGTGTCCGTTGGGATTCTGGGAATTCCAGCGAATGCCCCAAGGAATCACCAATGCACCAAGTACTTTCCAGAGATTAATGGAGAAATGTATGGGCGACATGAACCTCAAGGAGGCTATTGTCTTTCTAGATGACATCATTATATTTTCTGAGACTCTAGAGGAACACGAGATAAGATTACTGCGAGTCCTCAACCGTCTCAAAGAGTATGGCTTAAAGCTATCAGTGGAAAAGTGCAAGTTCTTTCAGTCATCAGTGAGGTACTTGGGGCACATCGTTTCCAGGGACGGTGTCAAAACAGATCCTGAAAAGATCAACGCCTTAAAGACCTGGCCAAGCCCGAAGAACCTGAAAGAACTGAGGTCATTCTTGGGGTTTTCAGGATACTATCGGCGATTTATCGAAGGTTATTCCAAGATAGTCAAACCATTAACAGATTTAACAGTTGGCTACCCACCTCTGCGAAAGACCAAGAGCCCAAAAGAGAAGAGCGTGGTTTATCGCAACCCGAAAGAACCTTTCAACGATCGTTGGACTCCTTCATGCAAGTTTGCTTTTGAGACAGTCATTGACAAGCTTACCACTGCCCCAGTATTGGGTTTCGCAAACCCCGTATTGCCTTACACCTTGCACACCGACGCCAGCACCACTGGCTTGGGAGCTGCACTTTACCAGGAACAGAATGGACAGATGCGACCAATTGCATTCGCCAGCAGAGGACTATCTCACAGCGAAGCTCGCTATCCTGCCCATAAGCTGGAGTTTTTAGCCCTTAAGTGGAGCGTGACAGAAAAATTCAGCGACTTTCTGTATGGAAATCAGTTCACCGTCGTCACTGACAGCAATCCACTAACCTACATACTCACTTCAGCGAAACTGGATGCTACCAGTTATCGATGGCTGTCTGCCCTGTCCACATTCTCATTCACACTTCAGTACCGTGCAGGGAAACAAAATCTGGATGCTGATGGTCTGTCAAGACGTCCTCATGGAGACCTGATTAATGATCTTGAATCTCAAAAGGAGCGTGAACGAATCCATCAGTTCACCTTACGTCATTCTCCTGATAGTGAAAATGTCACTGAAGTGGACCCAGAAGTAGTCCAAGCAATCTGTGAATGTCATCTACTTCGCCAAGATCCAGAAAACCAATCACTTGACCCTTGCATCACACTCGTCGAATCCCTTGCTATGTATGCAGACGTCATTCCTTCTATCTTTGAGCAAGAAGAACAGGCAGAGGGAACTCTAACTATCCAGCATTTGTCCAGGGAAGAGATAGAAGAAAAGCAGAGAGCTGACCCCAGTATCCGAGAAGTCATATTCCAATTAGAGACTGGGCTAACACCCCCACCTACTGCACGACAAGAGCTCCCTGAACTTCCGTTGCTGTTGAGAGAATTGCCTCGATTGGAGATAAAAGACGGAATCCTCTATCGAAGGAGGAAAGAAGAACAACACACCACATTCCAACTGGTCTTACCCAAAGAGCTCAGGACATCTGTCATGAAGAGTCTGCATGACGACATGGGTCACTTAGGAATAGAGCGAACTACAGATCTCCTGCGATCCCGGTTTTACTGGCCTAAAATGGCTGCTGAGGTGGAAGCAAAAGTGAAGACGTGTGACCGCTGCATTCGGAGAAAGACCCCACCTCAAAAGGCTGCGCAGCTGGTCAACATAAAAGTAACTCGTCCGTTGGAGTTGGTCTGTATGGACTTCCTCTCGATCGAACCTGACAGAAGCAACACAACCAATGTCCTGGTGATCACAGACCATTTCACAAAATATGCAGTTGCTATGCCCACACCCAACCAGAAAGCTGGTACCGTGGCCAAATGCCTCTGGGAGAACTTCATCATCCATTATGGTTTTCCAGAGCGCTTACACAGTGACCAAGGACCTGACTTTGAATCAAAGACAATTAAAGAGCTTTGTGAAGTGGCAGGGATTCAGAAAGTTCGGACAACTCCATACCATCCAAGAGGAAACCCAGTGGAAAGGTTCAATCGTACGCTTTTAAGCATGTTGGGAACCTTACAAGACAGAGACAAAGCACATTGGCGAGACTTCGTACGCCCATTGGTGCATGCCTACAATTGCACTAAGAACGATGTCACTGGGTTCAGCCCTTACGAGTTGATGTTCGGGAGGCAACCTAGGTTACCTATTGACTTGGCATTTGGTATCCCACTCTTTGAACGCAACCAAACATCTCACTCAGACTATGTACGGAACTTGAAGTCTCATCTGAAGGAGAGTTACCAACTCGCATCCAGCAATGCTGCTAAAAATGCTGCAAGGAACAAAGCCAGATTTGATCGACGCATCACAGAGTCTACACTTGAAGTTGGTGACCGTGTGCTGGTAAGAAGTGTTCGTCTTCGAGGGAAGCATAAACTTGCTGACAAGTGGGAACCTGCAATTCATGTGGTGACAAAGCGGGCCGGTGATCTTCCAGTGTACACAGTGAGACCCGAGAAACAAAATGGACCGCTGAGGATGTTACACAGAGATCTCTTATTGCCTTGCGGATTTCTCCCTGCAACAGAAGACAATGTAACCTCGCCGGAGCCAGTCTCGCGGAAAAGGACCCGGCAGAACACTTGCTTGAATCCTGCTGCACAAGATGCAGATGAAAACGTGAATCAAAATCAGTCAGATGAAGAAGTTCCTGTGAACTGGAATGTAAACTCTAAGTGTGTGGAAAGTGCTTGGCACTCATACCAAATCGAGCTGAAAGAGAATACCCATATGGAAGATGAAGGACTAGGCAGTCCTATTGGGATTATTCCAATTGAGTCCTCAGCTGAGCAAAACCCTCAAGCAACAGTAGCTGTCCCCCATCCTGGAGTCCTGATGGAGCAAGAGCAATCAGCCGAATCTGAGGTCGTCAAACCTGATTGTTCACTGAAAAGAGGCATCAGTCAAGTTGGAGAAAACACCATTGTGAATGACATAACTGAAGAAGAACCTGAAAGAGAAAACGTACCTGACGACGGAACAATGTCTGGAACTGCATCAGAAGGAACACAACCACCAGAGAATATTCAAAATGTCGTGGAGGATGCCATCCCAGTGCTCTCCAACATGTCTGCCAGCAATGACGACTCTCAGAAGCCAAAGACAAAAGCAACTATGCCTGAAATTGCTGAAGATAAAGATGAACAAGATGCTCTTCACAGACGTTCCAACAGACCCAGAACCATTCCAGATAGATTACACTACCCCCAATTAGGAAATCCACTAGTCTCCATTGTGCAGTCCCTTTTCCAAGGCTTAAGTGTAGCCTTCACAGACACACTACAAGGTCATGCTTATGAGGAAGTTCAAGCAGAAAATCCTCATTCGGCTGTGACCAGACAACCTGATAGGTGTTGCGGGACGTACACACCTTTAAGAGGGGAGTGTGTAACCCCCGGTTACTAAGACACTGAGAAATAACATTGACTAAAATGTCAACTTTATTTTAATGCTTAGCACTACATACACAAATAATATAAATTATTTGAAACTAAAATAGAAACAATATAGATACACAATATGCAATTTAGGACAACATGATTTAGACAATTCTTCATGAAAACATTTAAATGAGTGTGATTAGATAAATCCCCTGTCCATCTAAAGTGGTTGTAAAGCAAGGCTAAGCCAATCAAAGTTTAGACCCGCCCCGTGTCTGCTGTCTAACAGGAAGTGAGATGGCTGTTTATCCTTTTGGGATAATGACTCAGCAGCATTAGCTCTATAGATTTTAATTGTAGTTATTTTAACAACTTTTCACTTAGATTGACCGACTTTTCTACTTTTCCCCAAGAGCATTGCCTCTTATATGATACCCTTGGTCGGGTCTTTTTTTTGTGTGATGTGAAGGAGATTTTCTGGATTCTTTGACTGGAACGCTGCCCTCATCTCTGCTGGTGTACTGTGGTGAATTTCAGTCTGGCGAGCTACCCATCGACCTATCTAAAAGAAGAGAACTATTACAGTTACCCACCACGATAGTAGGACAAGAACTTGTGCATCTTTTCCTCTTCACAAGTTGAGAGCCAAGAACTGATTTGATTATTGATTGTGTGATACTATGTTGAATATGTTATAACTATATGTGTATAGAAGTAATGTGATAAGTTTTCTTTCATTTTATTTAAGAATCTGAAATAACATTTCAAATACAGAGTCCTGGTTCCCAAAATTAGAATATATAGCTTAGCTACTAAATTTAAATAAAACCATTAGTTTATATTAAATAGGGATAATTAAAACAGAAGTAACAACACTAAATGATACCAAAATAGTTATAAAATAAATAGGTACAAATAATTAAAACCAGGATACTCTCAAATTCAAGGTAACTGAATATATTATGTCTTTAAAATGTTTATCTGAAAGAAAGGGAATAAATATTATAGCTTTCTGTACCTTTTCCAAACAACGTCTGCTTTGTGTCTTTTCACCTTTGTTGCACAGTATCCATTTTCTCCTGAGCAACCTAGACTTCTGATGTGCTGGTCCACACACTGAAATTTCTACATTTATATTAGAGAGGTTTGATCGAAACTGATTCGTATAAATAATTCTGTGCTCAGCATTCATATTTGGTGCATGTGTTACATAAAGCTCACAGATAAACCTTTAATTTATCATGGAAAGTCATAAAGGGGAAATTGACAGACTGCTTCTCGCTGTAAGAGTTTCAGTATGCAATGGAAACAGTTGATCCTGGCAAGATGACTTTCTATATCCTGTGACTTGTTGTTGCTGCTGTAACAATCAAATATCCTCTCACCTTCTAACTCTTTTTTGCATTCGCAGTGTGTCTCACTTCTGCATCGGCCAGAGTCAGCTCGGCCCGCTGAAGGTGACAACGTTTCGCTACTGCAGGCCCACACAATACCTGGCCCAGGTCGACACCGGCCTGTTCAAACGCATGCGCTGGAACGTGGAGAGACTCCCAGATGAGCAGCAGCCAGAGGAAGAGAGGGAGGAGAGAGAGGCGAGGGAGGCGGACACAGAGTAGTGAGTCTGGCTGATATATTCATCCTCTGTTTGATAAAATGTATTCCTCTGATAGATTGCATCATGTCATTTCTCTTCAAATACATATATTCCTGTTCTTAATCTATTATTCAGTTACTTCCTGTGCTATGAGGACATTCCCAACGCACACGCAGAGACAGGCAGGGACAGCCAAGGCGTCTCTGATGGTGACGTGGTGAGGATGTGGTCCATCGGGCAGTGGGTGCAGGAGACACCCGAAACAGACGACATCTGCGAATGGTAAACTGATTCGCATTTCTTTATCTGTTGCTCTGTAGCTGCTTCTACAACAAAGGCATTGTAAGGATGTTTTGAAGAGGGGTTTTATGGGGTACTTACACACAGTCAGTAGATGGTGGTCAGCACGCCCCTAGCTTGGATAAGCAGACAGGAGTTATGGAACAGGAGCAATGCACTGCTGTGGTTGGGGGCAGCAGCAAAACGTATTTTAGCTACCATTAAAAATGCCCAACTAAATTGTTTTTTATCAGATTAAGCGTACGGTAAATTTGGCATATTTTCACCAATTTACTTTGCCATCAGACGGCCCTTTCAGTCGAACAACTGAAGATTTCATATTTTTTATCGGAGGTACCAGACTCTAAAAAAGATGGTAATTTGACCTTGCTGAACACAGGAGTTGGCTGCTCTAGCGCCAGTGTTGGGTGTAACGCGTTACAAAAGTAACGGAGTTACAGTAATATATTACTTTTTGCTGTAACAAAGTAATGTAACGCATTACTAATGAAATGTGGGTAATATATTACCCGTTACAATGCTCAGTTACAACACATTTTAACCCAAAATTAAATGGTGTCTAACATAGCGAGACATTCCGACACCAGAGAAAAATTGTGCGGGTAGATTAGTAAACCTGGTGTTTACCCTTCAGGCTTCGCGTCGGGATCTTCGGGGGTGCATAGGCATGCATTGCACCCCCAGTTCAATGTTATGCACCCTCTATTCAAAAAAGAGAACAGAGCGAAAAATACAAACAACAAATTGTGTCAGGTGCGTGTGACCTGCTCCGCTGCGCGTGCATCATTTCCAAAGTGCTTCCACAGCAGTGACACACATCTGTAGATAATCATTTATACGAAAATGGTTAAAGCAACCATCACTAAACGCCAGCAACACTGCATCTACTGCAGACAGTAGCAACAGGTCAGATGGGGACATCACGTTACCCTCCGTTGTGGACACTAGCTTACTCCCGCCTGACTCGCCGCCCTCGCCCCCGGAGCAGCAGTCTTCGTCGCCCGAAACTACGCCGCCCCTCTGCGGCCCGCAGGTGCCAGGATACCACGGCAAAACAGAGCCTGCCCAGGTATATCTAAACAACTACTCGCCTGTACAGGGGGGTAAGGCGGTCATTTTGCAGCTTGTGGTATAAAAATAGACAATGGCTAGAATATTAATGTAAGAATAGTGCCATATTCTGCCATGCCTGTAGAAATGTTGGGTCAAAAATAATGCATACAATAGCACAGATGCCTTCACCACGAATGGCTACAAAAAGATCTCATATCCCAAGCTTATCAACAAGCTAATGTTGCAGCTGAAATGTTCTCCAGGTCACAAAGTCAACCTCACATGATGATGTGATACCAGTTTTCAAGCACAGTAAATATTCTCTTCCCAGAGTATATGATGGGACCAAGGTGATGATGTAGTACATGGTTTTAATAATACTTTTGCTTTTCAATGTTTGCCATTTCAAACCATGAGCTGGTTCAAATAATATTTGCCTTGATTTACAATATGTTCTCATTTGTTTTATCAGTACAGTTTTGAAGCTTTTGTGCTTTTCCTTGCCATAGTCCACTTTGGACTATATGACATATTTCAGGATTGCACTTTTAACACACTTGAAATGTTCTCACTTGCTTGGTTTCAAAACTTAACAAATGCCATCATCTGTTCATTGGGGACCATAACATCAATGCTATTTTTCATTGCTGTTGCCGGCCACTATTGCTCATGTAAACCTACTACTGCTGCACCCCCTGTAATCTCAAGTCATTTTGTTCTGGAACCGGGCCTGTACATGGCCATATACTAAACAAAATACAGAGCCCATTCCGTGTCCTGTTATTGTTTACTTCCTCTCTGCCTTCTTCTGGTGATTTATCTGACGTCCAGCTCTCCGTCTTTTAACCTATTTTCATTTCTCTTTCTTGATCCTCCTTAGCAACCTTCATTATAGTCCTTGACAGTGGTCTGTACTGTATTAACGTGTCACATGTTAAGAATTTACAATCAGAATCGAGTATTCAACTAAGCCGTGTAATAAAAGTTGTAAGTAGCCTTAATGGCCTACACAGTTGTTATGCTATACCACATTGCCCTTCACTGGATGTATAATGAGCTGCACTAAACTACATTTTAGCATTTAAAATACCTAGCCATTCTTTTGCGGTTATTTTGGTGAAAGTAACTCAAAAGTAATATAAAAGTAGTGTAACTCATTACATTTCAGAGACAGTAATATTGCAATGTAACGTATTACTTTAAAAAGACAGTAATAAGTCATATGTAATATATTACATTTTGGAAGTAACTTGCCCAACACTGTCTAGCGCCTCCTTGATCAGTTGGTTTGTTTGTGTTTTTGTGTGACTTTGAACATTTAGAAGGGTTAGTCTGTAATCACCAAAGCACCAAGTCAATTAAATCTAATATACAGTAATACAACCCCACTTCAAACCATCCCTTTAAGACATTCTTCATTGCTCAGTGCTTTTCTGGGGAAGTACAATGTATTGAAAAGATAACTGATAAATCTTAAAATGAGCAACACATTCCTCATCTCATGTCTGATATCTGATGTGTTTTCTCAGGTTGTGTCACTCATATACATTGTATCTGTCCTGTTCGTTTAGGATCCTATGCCAGGTCCCTACAGCCAGTTACCACAGGCTGCTGTTCCTGGGCAGCAACGAGCCGTCGAGCTGCAGCGCGACAGACTACCTGCAGCAGCTGCTGTTGTCTTACCAGACAGCAGAGTGAACATAGTGACCCGTCTGTGGGATACACCATCATGTTGGAGGATCGAAGGATAAACAGTTTGTTGAATTGACCGGAGCAACTTAAATCCCATTATAAAGCCCATAGCCAGTTATTAAGCAAAAGTGTTTCTGGTTCTAAGGTCAACATCTGGTTTTATGTGCATCTGGATGGAACAGAAACAGATGCAAAAATCACAAGCACATCACTGTAATATGTTATACTCTCAGCCAGAGGTTGTTCAACATTTAGAGCTGAAGAGAAGATGGTGTCATAAATGACAAGTGTTGTTTGAAAAACAAAAGTTCTATAGATTGCATGTTGAAAAGGTTTTATAGTTTGTAAAAAATGTTATGCTTTGTATTGTGATGAGCATGTTTGACTGTGTTGTACACTTTTTGTCACTTAATTGTGTTCAGTGTGTTTATGTTGAAGAGTGTTATTTTATAAGAGACTATAAATATTTGTCTTACATTTTTAATAGCCTTTTGTTGTTTTGTGTTGAAAATAATTTCAGAATCGTTATTTAAAAAAAACATTTTATTTACATGAAACATTGCATTGAAGTAATTACACACAATCACAGTTTTTAAACAAGCTGCCATGGTTCGGGCTTCACAAGTTGGAGCGCCCATTTACTAAATATCAATAGTTCTGCAAGCCATTTGAATTAGTTCCAACTTCATCTTTAATAAATTAATATCTTAAATGTGAGATTTCATATTTTTGAGCCGCTAATTGAGTCTTCAGTTTAACCTCGTCATCATTCGGCTCATCAGTTCTGTTTACTGGACATAAAGGTCATTTACTTCCAAAAAAGAATAAAATCTAACATTTACAACCCACATCCTTCATTCTCTATTCAATAAAAATCTATATAGGACTCTTACTATTCTTCTAAATCTCTAAAGTACAAAAGTAAAGTGGAGTTTCCCTTCATTACAGTGAGCAGTCTTTAAAACAATATACACATAGATGCTTACAAAAACACAACACAGACATGTTTAAGAAAAGCATGTTTTTAAAGTCCAGCTTTGTCAAAAATGCAGCGAGCACAATGCGTCTTACCGTGAGGACGGGAGAGCGAACATACATGAGCAGAAACACCTGCTCGCTTCTCAGCTGCTACACATGGGCTTTCATAAGAGAGTGGGAGATGAAGACGACCATTTTCTTTGCCAATATCAATAATGGGAGCGAGCAATCATCCTTCTAAAGAGCCAATACGTTTAAAGTTCACTGCTTAGTTATAAAACAAAAATCTGATTCAAATAAAAAGATTTTACAGTGACTGACTGACAAACACACAGTATCGAGACAACAGGTTCACATCGACAGAGCACAGATATGAACATTTAGGTCACAATTCCAGACCATCGCGCATCACAGTGACAACAATATAGTTAATACTTCAAATGACCTGATATTGAACCCTTTGAATAGCCTTCCTGATCTCACACAATAAAGTGACCCCTGACCTTTACAGCAGAATTGGTTTTACCCAAAGTAAATCGTTGTCCTCTAATGCAAAATAGAAGGCGTTATGACCGGCTATCATCTGTCAGTAGTCTGTGACGGAAACATCATTTTAAACGTGAGCATGAGAAAATAACGGAGACAAAACATATGACAGTGGCTCCAGAACAGAAACCATAAAAAGGCATCTCTCAGCAGTTATTATATAAAACAAACTTCATCTCTCGACACAAATACAGGAACATAAGTAAAGCCTCATCGGTGCCTGACTCCAGTGTTTCATAAGGAAATGCATAGGCCTACTAGTCACACTGACCTTTGGTGAAGAACTGTAAGGTCTTAACATTTATTTGACATCAAATACATTATACCAAATTAAGTTTGACTAACCAGCCAAAGTATCCAAGCCTGTATTATCAACATTATAAAATTGATACAAAAACAAGACTATTTGAACAAGTGCAAATCTTGGAATGAGTGTTCTTTTATCACTTTTCATTAGCAAGACATCTCCAGTGGCTATTCTCATAGGAAAATAAGGTGATAAGTTACGGCTTTAATTCAAAATGGCTGCGGGTGAGCAACGCAAAGTGAAACAACCACACCTATCCGTCAATGTACCTTCCATTGATAGTGGCTGTTTGGCACCGCGCGTGTGTGTGGAGGGATTTCGCATAATGAAAAGTGTCTCGTTCCAGTGACGCATCATGCGTCCCGTCAGTAGTCACATGGTTTCAGGTGAGTGTTTACAGGATTGAAATGTAATTTTATAGCCAGTGTTTAGTTTGTGTTCTCAGTGGTGTAGGGTATCGAGTGTGAGGAGAGAGGTGCTGAGTTTCAGTGCAGTCTCGTGTTTGTCTACGTGAGCGGAGACGCAGGTTCTTCACTGGCAGAATCAGAGACTTTCCCCCAGAGTAGAGACCCGTCCTAGCTTACACCGAGGACTCTGAGGTCCTGTACTTGGCATTTCTGTCGTATGTTTTGGTTAAAATAACTTAAAATGCTGATTTATAAACAAATTGAAACTAGGCCTGTGTCTGCTTATCATTGCGTCTAGAATAAGGCGATTAACGAAATACAAACAGTTTTCTTTGTTTAAGCAAAATGTATTAAACAATGTCATTCATCAGTGTTCAATAAAAAGTGGTGCCTGCAGTCTGTCTAAAGTCAAGAAATATCTGACTCAACACTTTAAACCATGGACACAAAGGGTTGGTAATGTTTTGAAAATCCTAACATTTTAGAAAAGGCTTAAAAAAAAGCATTTAGATGTTTCTGTGAGTTAATGCGTGTTAACCAACTGAATAAATTTTCCATAAAAAATGTGGTGCATAGGGGAGTCCACAAATTGGACCGTCTTTACTGATTTGATAATTTAATCTTTAACTTATCCCGAGGACTACCAGAGAGTCTAGAACCAGAGCAAAATAGTTGTTAACCTTTTGTTTACATCAATGCATACTTGCTGGAGAAACAGCAAACAAGAACTGCAGCACCACCGATCATTAGTGTCTGTTTTGTTTGTGCTTGTGTTTTCAGTAGGGTTAGAAAACCCTGACCATTGAGTGACCCAACCTTTTTTGCCCTTTCAAAGAGAAGATCAGTCTACGAGTCACAAGTTGCACCTGTCTACAGGTTGTCGAGTGATTATTCCTTCTAATACTTAGATTCATTTGGTCGTTTTGAAAGGAAGCAACAAGAAAATAAAAGCTTGAAGGAAATACACATTGTGTACTAGAAACATGCTTTCTATTTAGTGATTCACTGTTAGTTTGGAACCACTGATCAATAGCACAAGTTACTGGGTCTTCCTGATGGGCAGTTTGTTTTGTCCTTTTTCATTCTAACAATGATGTTTATCAATTTCTCTGAGGTTATCTTTATTAAATACTTGGAAATGACTTCTTACAATCTTGACCATTGAGTTCAATGTGATGGACATCAACAAAGTGATTTTTTAAATCGAGTTTATCGTTCTTTAAATGGTGCTGCTTATCAAGTTATTGCCTCCCCCCCCCTCCATTGTCCAGCCCTTATATTTACTTCAAGCTGTATTTCATCCGTTCTCCTTAAGTGAACCTTAATTGTGTTTACAGCAACAGTAGAGTAAATGTGTGCTGCTCTGCATACACATATGTATGCCAGTCTTGAGAGAGTGTGTGTGTGTAAAAATACTTGCGCCATCTTCCCTGTATGTCTGTCCTTAATGTTTAACAGTGTGTACTGTAATTGTCCCTCAGTGATGAGTCTCCAGCTCCACCACTGTCCACTCCCCCTGAGGGGAGCTCCCAGTGGCCTCTGGGGAGAAACTACTGACGGAGGTGACAGTGGCCGAGGGAGGGGTGAGGGGGGGCAGCAGGCTGGGCCACAGGCTGCTCTCAAGGGGGCTCAGCGTGCCCCCCGCCCCCCGCGGCAGCAGCAGCAGCGAGGAGCAGCCGCCTCTGTTCAGCAGCAGCGTCTGATTGATCAGCTGCTGCACGATGTCCACCTTCTTCCCCCAGTCCAGCTCCAGGGGGGGAGGTCTCTCTGGAGACTCGGGGGGACAGGGGGAGGAGCTGTCTCCGTCCTGGGAGGGGTCGCTGGATGTCTGCGGGGAGTCTCGCAGAGGAGGGGGGCTCTCTGTGGACGGAGAGGAGTCTCCACGCTCATCGCCGATCAGGTCTCCGTTTGGTGTCTCCTCTCTGGGCTCGTTCTCTTTAGTGGGGTTGAGCTCTTCCTCACCATCACTGTTCTCCAGCGCTTCGTAGATGGTGCAGAGGACGGAGGAGGCCAACAGCAGCTCCGCCTGCTCCTTGTTAGCCTGCTGCAGCTCTTGTTGCCACTGCATGATCTGATGCCGCTCCTTCAGCTCCTGCTGTTGCTGCTGCAGCTCCAGCTCTCTCCTCCGTTTCTCCTCTTCCTCCTCCTTCTTCTTCGCCACCTCCGCCTGCTCCTGCGTCTTCCTCTCCAGCTCCTCCTTATTCCTCTTTATCTCTTCTTCGGCTTCATCCTTCTTCTTCCTGGCCTCCTCCTCCTCCCTGGTCTTCCTCTCCTGCTCCGCCTCCTCCAGCGGTCTGCTCTGCTGGTCCCGGCGCAGCTGCATCTCCAGCAGCTGCCTCTGGTGCTGCTCCAGCCTGCGCAGCTGGGGGCTCAGCGCCTTCTGGCCCATGTTCCTGGGGGGGAGGTCAGCGCAGGTCAGTTTGGGCGGGGGGGCGGCCACCAGAGGTTTGACGAGGTCGCAGTAGGTCCTGGGGTAGGCCGAGTGATCGCGGCGGTGAGGCTGCGGTAGTGCAGCGAAGCCTGTGTGAGAGGAAGCGGGAAGGGAAATGACAGCAGCGTGATGTTATTAAAACAGGTGACAGGCAGCAGGACAGTGACAGCAGTGCAGTGTGAGTACAAGCAAAGAAAGGGTGTGGAGGGGAGGCCTACAGAGGCTCATTCTCACTGAAGGGATAGAGAAAGCATTGTGAAGCCGAGCCTACAGCACCAAACTGACCGGCAAATATTTGTGGTTTTATACTTTGAACATGTGACAGTGGGACATTGTTTGAAAGCCGTGCAACAGTGACAGATATAGCCGGCTGAGTATTCAGGGAGGGGGGGATTTTTGTAAAAACACCAATAAAAAGTGACCAAAGGTGACTGGGGGTGGTGCTAGATACATTTGTGCAGAGAGCAAATGTGCACATTGAAGTGATTTTCTTTTTTTTCCTTTACATGTACCCCCTTTTTTCTTTTTCTTTAAATAACACTCGGAAAAGAAATATGTTGTGCAAAAAAAAAAAAAGCAGCCAACTTCCTGTATATGCAATCGCTATTTACTATGGTGAAACGTAAACTATCCCAGAAAAGCTTTTCGCAAGCTTAAACCGTTGTCCCCCGTGAATGGATTTTATAGTTAGTCAACCAGTGATACATGCAAAAGCTTTCCATGCATTTATAGACATCCAGCATCACAACACTCAAAGAATAGCTTGGCTTTAGAGGTGATCAAGTTGAATGAATACTTCCCCCTCAAAATGATAATTTGTTTATTAAATACTCACCAGTATTACTTTGAATTCTTGAAGAAAAAGTTGTTTTTCTCATGCATCTACTCATCCAAGTTCTGATTATACAGAAGTGTGATGATCAGTAGTCAAGTTTTAGCAAATATGCATCAAAAGTAGAAAGCATATGACTGGATAAATGAGACTTGGATTATACTGCACGAGAAAACATATTTAAGACTTTACTACTTTATTTTAAACTTCATTTACCATGAAGGTAGGAAAGAATTTTTTTTTTTTTTTCAAGAATTTTAAGTAACACAGGTTACTGATATTTAAATTATAATTTTGTGGGTGAAATATTCCTCTTCGGCTAGACATTATTTCAACTTAGTACATTAAGTCTCTTTTGCTGACCCTGAACAAACCAATCCAGGGTAATGTAACAAAAGGCAAGTCATTGTGCAACAGTGACATGCATAAGTTTAACATCAATACAATGCAGGAGGAGAGCTTAAAAAAAAAGTAGTAGCAAAGATCTAAAAAAATAAAACACCCACAGTGACTGGAGGGAAATTAAAGGAGGCAGCAGAGTGAGGAGTGGGGGCTTCTTGAGGCTGGACCAACTCCTTTTGCCGCTGAGATGCAGAAGTTGATCCACAGATGAGGATCGGGGGTGTAGACGACCAACTCATGGCAGAGCAGTGAAGTCTTGGTCAGGAGGTCCAATGTTCTTCGTGTCCATTTTTGAAAGGAAATGCCATAGTATACAATGCTAGTGTCTTTGTAAATGTATTCCAAAGTGATATGCTATAGGATACAAGGCTGAGTGTTTGTATATAGCTAATGTATATAGCAACTGGTAAATAACTGGAAGTTTTAAGACCGTTTAATGAGTGCTGGTGGTGTTGGATGATTTGTACTTTCACACCAATCCACAGACCATAATAATGGCACTCCCAATCACCCATTTCAATAAAACTGTACAGTGAGAGAGCGCATCATTGTAAAAAATCTAATCTTTATTTAAAGTTTTCAATACTCAAAGATGGATGCACACAAGAAAAAGCTGGGGTACAATTTAAAGTGCAAGAAGATATGAGTGATCAGGAATGTTCATTCTGGATTTCCTTTGCTAGGTTTTATTCCTCTTGAAGAGCTGTAAACAGACAAAGATGAATCCATGCCAGTTCAAGGCAACCACATTATTCTGCGTTAGGTCACGCGGAAACCAAAACCCAGGCACGCTCACACATTAGGAGTAAATAGTAGTAGCTATTGCACATACAGGAATTTAAGCCAAATACTCATCATGGAAACACTATATCAGAGGTTAGTGCTACGGCTGTCCTCTTTTTCTGCCCTCTGTTTTTTTAAACTTTGATTACATCCACCCCCAGAGATCAGGACAAACACTGACGAGTGTAGAGCCACAACAGTGAGATATAGAGTGGTGCAGGGATGACGTATTTACCCGGAAGTAAGCTGCGCATGGGTTCCCTCAACAAAAAAGCCACGGGATATCTCCATAGGATTTTGGAAAATAGCACGAAATAAGGTCTGTGGAAAACGAACCCGTTTGATAAATGCACGTTTTGTTCAGCCGGATTATATCCACATGTCTACCCTACTTTTATCATTTTCGAATCATAAATCTAATCGTCAGAAGCAAAATGCTAACGTTATGCTATAAACGAACTATAGCCGAGTACAGCAGGGTCGCACAACTTCAACGTCACGCCAACTTAAGATCGATATTCAGCAATACAGATTCAAAATTGTGCAAGTTGAAGCGTTTGTTTTAACAGTTTGCAGGAGGCAGGTACTTGCTTTCAAGCAGAACAGGGGCAAACAAACTTAGCGGGAGTGTTTACGTGTTCGGCATAATGACGTACAACGTCCTCGACAACTTCTGTAGTCTTAGTCACTTGTTAACAACTATCGTTTTTCAGACACGTAAAAATCACCAGCGGGGTCACTCCCGATGTATTTCATGTCGTAGAACAAAACGTGATCCGTCTCTTAAATTAGTGTCAACCACAGACCTTATTTCCAGCTATTTTCCAAAATCCTATGGAGAAATCCCATTGGCTCTGAGACAAGGGAACCGGAAGGGGTAAAAATGCTAACTCACTTCCGGGTTCCCGGACTCGTCACTGCACCAATCTATTATGGGATGATGGAGCAGGGCCGGGGGGGGTTAAGGGTCATTACTTGGGCTGTTAAGGAGATGATGAACTATACATTACCTGCAAAAGAGTTCTCAGTGTTTTCACAGATTGCAGAAAAGTAGAACGGCTGGACGTCCTCTGGGTTTTCTTCGGCTTGCTGCAAAGTGCTCTGGGCAGACGAAGGGTCCGGGGCTTCCTCGGGCCCCGGCACAACCCCGCTGGTGTTCTCAGCGGGCTCAGCAGAATCTGATTCCTGCTTCCCACAATCGATGTACTGATGCTCTGCGAGGCATGGCGGCGTGTGAGGTTGCGGGATCAGACACGGCTCCTTGGCCTCCTCGGGCAGCTCCTCCAGGAAGAAGATGCCGGGGCTCCTGACGCAGCTCTCCCCTGTGGACTGGGTGTTGGAGTTGGAAGCTGTGGTCATGGTGTCTTCACCTGCACGAGCCTCCACCGTGTCCGCCTCCTCTCCCTCTTCCACGGTGGACAGGCAGCGCTGGGATGGAGATTGGCTGTCGAAGGTGATGTGGCCGACCAGCGTCGTATCCAAGGAATCATCCAACTGAGCCTCTCCCTCCGTGTCGCTGGCCTCGTCTTCTGTTACCGAGGTGGAGGAGGGGTTGGAGGTGGGGGAAGTTGCAGGGCCTCCCAGCACTTCGTCAGCGGGCAGCGTCTTGGCCTCGGCTTCCTCGTGGTCTAGCTCAGGCTGTGGGGAGAGCGCCGGTGCTTGCACATCTTGAGCCTTCCCATCTCGATTGTAGTCGCAGAGCTCCTCGGGGGTGCTGGTCTCACTGCTCAGGGTGCTTGACAGAGACATGGGGGGTGCAGAGAGAAGAGCCGGGGCCAGGGTCTGCATTGGAGCTAGATCTTGTGGCTCATCTTTGACGGAGGACTGATGGGGAGCTTCTTGGTTTTCAGGAACCAAAGGAGCAGAGCCGAGTTCCAACCAAGCTGAGGCCTGAGTCGGGGTCTCAGAGTCTGCATGCCAGGGGTCAGCTGAGGGGCTCGCTCCTGCCACTCCTGCTTCCTGTTCTGGCTGGGAGACCGCCACCAGGAGCTGCTGATGCTCAGGGTCTGCATGCCAGGGATCAACGAAGGGGTTTGGTTGTTCCCACTGAGCAGCGGGGGCGGAGGGGAGCTGAGGAGGGGGAGGCGGGGCCTCGGCCACTCTGTTCAGGTTGTCCAGCCTTTCATCTTCAGCAAAGTCATCTTCATCCGCATTCCCATAGCTTTCCAGCCCGCTCTCTGTCACGCCCTCACTTGCCATTTCCACATCTTCGTCCTCCTCCTCTTCTTCTTCTTCTTCATCATTCGCGTCGTTATCATGCCGGAGTCTCAGCGGCTCGTCGGCCCGCTCCGAGCCCACGTCCATGTCACACACCCGGTCGTCGTCAAAGTCATCGTCCTCATCGAAGTCATTAGCCGGTATGTCGGGGACCTTCTCAAAGTCAGGTGACCCCGCTGAGGCCCCTTCCATGTCGATGGCTCCCTTCAGACTGCCGTCCCCCAGGTCGTCCATGCTCTCGGTGCCCTCCAGAACCCCGGGGGCGCTCAGCTCCGACGCCCCCTGCTGGCTGCCGCTCACCTCCTCAGAGTCCAGCTCAGAAAACAGGGCGCCGCCGGCCCTCCAGGCAGACCCTCCGACGGGTCCTGCCGAGCCGGGACGAGACTCCTCTGTGGGCTGCGTGGTTCCACTCATCTCAGACACAGAAACCAGCTGGCTCCCCTCCCTCTCCTCCTCCTCATCATCATCCTCTTCCTCATTTAGATTGGTGGGAGGAACTTTCAGAGAGAGGGAATTTGCTGCTGCTGCTGCTGGGAGGGCTTTAGACATGGAGGGGGTTTGGTAACCAGGCTCCTCAGTGTAATCTGGGGGACAGGCCACTGGTGGTAATGCAGGCTCGGCTGGGGCAGGGGTCTGTTCCTGCGTTGTTGGTAATAAAGCACTACTCTCGGTCTCCATCAGAGGTGTGGATGTTTGTGGTAAGGCTGTGCGGACGGGGCTTTGTGGAGGAGAGGAAGCAGCTTCCTGTCTCACAGCAGTCTCTTGTGGCACCACATCCAGTGTGGTACTCTGGGCCAAGACAGGGGGAGTCTCCTCTGTCTCCTCCTCCGCTGGTGCAGAGGCAGTAAGGGATGAATCTTGTGGGAAAGATTCTGTAACCTCCGTTTGTGTTTCTGGAGGTACAGCCACTGCTGCTCCTGCACCACCAGCAGCCCTCTGTGCTCCGGCAGCAGCTTTGAGAATAATGGAAGCACCGGCCTTCTTTGTGGCAGTGAAAGGAAGGACAGCCTGAGTGGGTTTGGTTCGGCGTTTTGCCTGAGGAGTGCTGCTGTGTATAGGTCTGTTGGCTGGAGACGCAGGTGGGGATCGTCCAAAAGGCTGTTTGTTTTGGGCCAGGGACAGAACAGAAGCTACAGGTTTCTTGGTGAGAGTAGATTTTGTAGGAGCTTTGGTCTGTGACACCTTGGGGTCTGCTGCCTTGGTTGTTGTGGAACATTTGGAGGCAGTGTTGAGCTTTACGGGGGCTGTGGGTCGAGGGTTTTTCTTGGCATCAGCGGCTGTCGTAGCTGCTAGAGGTTTATTTGCGACTGGAGCAGAAGTTGGGCGACTGACATCTAGTGCAAAGAACAACAACAAACGTCAATTCACCAAATCTGTCAAAAATAAGCATTTGTACTTTATCCCTGAGGCTAATCACCCACATTTTAAGACGCATTAAAACCCTCAAATCCATCACAGTTATGTATGCAACCTGAATATAACACGGCTTCAGAACAAGGCGTAACTCCTGACCTTTCTTAGCAGCTACAATCCTGGGAGGCTGTGCTGCGGTGGTCCTGCCAGTAGGGGGGGCTGTTTTGACTCTAGAGGCAGCAGTTCTGGCAGCTGCAGTGGTGGTGGAGGGCTTCAGTGCAGCTGTTGTGGGCCTGGATGTGGTGGATGCAGGTTGAGATGTTGAGGGAGCTGTAGTCGGCCTGGAAGAAGACGACAAAAGATATGTTAACAAATGCTGAAGGATTAAAAAAAACGAACAACAAAAACAAGCTGAAGCAGCTTCATCTCTGCAGTCGATTCTCTTTGTTGGCATTGATCCAAACATGAAATCTGATGCCCCGCCTCTACATGCATTTACAAGCATAAATAAATGACCTGTTCTGCTGTAAACCACAAAGGCAATTTCCACAATGGGAACCCATTAACAGAGCACCATCAATCTATGACCACACTGTTATGCCTCCTTCATTATCGGCTCACTTCCAAAAGGCTAGGCTGTAATGAGAAAGAGGATTACAGGGGGGGGAAAATGAAATATGGAACACTTGAATTGGAGCAAATGACAAAGGAAATAGGTAATGCAGAGGTAGGAGATGAGAACTGGGGCAGCGAAAGTAAGAGATCAGAGAGGGGGAAAATGCTGTGTGATGAGTGATTGCATAGACAGCAGAATAACAAGGAGGAAGAGGAGGAAAAGAAGAGGGGAAGATAATAGCTAAGGACATCTAGAGCAGGAGGGAGGAGGGAAGAAAACTGCCTTAAAACCATTCCTGCTTTAAGCTCCTGGTCTCAGAAGGAGCTCTTATGTGACACTGCATTAATCCACTCAATCACTACAACCGGGGCCAAACATTCCTTTCCCCACTTTCTCGGCTTCAATTATGCTTCTCTCCTCAATTTTGAAGTGTGCCCTTCCATTGGCGCAGACACACTGTGGGCAACTTCAAAATCCTACTTAACATTTTATATGTGTCAAAAACAGGCAACTAGGTCTTGAATCAGTAACTTCAAAGTTTTCCAGGGCCTGAAAAAGAAACCAGACTTCAATTTGATCAGTGAAAGACAATCTGTGTGCCCAAAAAGTGAAGTGATATGAGGAGCTGTAACCTACATACAGGTTTGAATATTGCTTATGCCGTGCTATTCTGGGCTCTGTAAAATCTCCACACAAAACATTCGTCTCGTCAGGCTCCGAGAACTTTCTGCATTGGCTAACCTACAAACAAAGTCAGCCGGTTAAACGAGCGAGTCGTCATCTCTACACTTTAACCCTGGTGTGCAAAGAAACAATTCAAAACCTCAGTACTGTACATCATTTGTACAACATCTGTTTATTATGAAACAGATGAACTTTTACAACAATCTCTCGAAAATGTAATTGCTTTAAAAACTCTGTGACCCCACGAGCAATTACAACAATGTCTTCTGTTGGACTTGGTCTGCCGACATGAGCGCCGACTTTGAAGACTTCAAGCAGAGCAGCATAGCATGCACACAGATGCCGCTCCCACATTACAATAACCATTACAATGACCATTTGTTTCTCGAGGATCAGACGTCCACTGGACAGACAAAGACTCATTGCGGAATTGGACGCCCTTAGACAGAAGTTAGGGTGATGTGAAGTGCAGCCAAAACTCTGAGATGAAATCTGTAAATGTTGGGTAATGATAAACAGAAAGAAAATAAAAAAATAAATACATGCTGTTAAACGGCAAAAAGGCCATCTGAACGTTTGAGCAGAAAAATAAAAATCGTAGGCAAGGTCAAAAAGGTGCAGTAAATGAGGCCTTTTTTCACATCTACTCCTGGATGCAAGCAAAATATGAATTGACAGCAGAAATGGAAAGAAGAGATGATTGAATGAATGCATTTCTCCTCGGGAAGAGTGAGTGATACTGAAGGATGAAATTAGACCGAGACACAGAAATTAAGATAAGAGTTAAGGGATGGGAATAAGGAGGGTAAGGGGGGCCACGGAGACACAATAACCCCATCCATTGTTTTATGACGAGTAGTAACTCATGAAACGGTTTGATCCAGAGGAGACGGACAAACCCAGTAAAGCCTGTGCGTGGGTGGTGGTTCTGTTGTTGGTGTTTTAGTATGGATTATACTTCCTGCCAACAGAGGGTTCAAATCAATACAAATCACAGTCCAAAGGGAGGATTAGAGGCACTCCACAGCCATCTACAAGTTAATGACCAAACACACCGTGCTCTTAAGGACAAAGGTCAGCAAAGGGACGAGTCACTGATCCTCTTTTGTTTTTACAGACAAAAATCACAAATGTTTATGGCGGATGCAAAAAAAAAAAAACACACCCATACTGAGCAGCTGCAACATCGGTTTGGACAAAGAGTAAACATGAGCTAGGGGCTTTTGTTGAAGCCACACCTACCCAATCCATTCATGACTCCCTCATCCCTCTTCATTTATAAAACAAGAAAAAGCTAGGAGGACGGATTTCCTTGGCATTTTGCTCTGGTAGATAACAAATATTCAGTTTTAAATCAAGCCAAAAAGGGACCAATAAGAGGGCTTGAGCAGGAGAAACACTTGTATTCCTGCGCAGTAAGCCCATCCTACAAAAGAAAAATCCAGTCTTAGTCTTCATTTCTGTCCTTGACCCTTTCACCACTTCAAGGGCCCCCTCCAAGACAACAAATTGAAATGGAGCCGCTAACAATACCTTGTTTGGCTTGTACGCCGTCCAAAATCAGCTGCTTTACTCCTTACCGAGAGGAGCTCACATTCCCAGGGTTAGTGTGGGCCTACAGTTATCTCCTTGACAATTCAGAGTAGGGGCCTGAATCGGCTCAGTGAAAAGCTGTAATGAAAGTCTGCAGCCTAGCAAAAGTATGGCAGACACTGTTGGCTTTTATGAGGCCCTGGGCACCCGCTGTCACTGTGATGGATGCCATGAGCCTCTTCTGTTAGGACAGTAATCCAGCTCTGCACCAAGTCGGGGAGAAATGACAGTAACTCCAATGGGCTGGATAGAATTAAGGGGAGATGAGAGAGGGAGAAAACTGACAATAAAAGTGCAAAGAAAGTGTGTTGAGCAACAACGAGCCAAGGCCATAGCAATTCTTCACATTCAGTTTTCAATAACCATGGAACACTCAGTTTCTGAGAGACCACAAAGTATTTCCCATTCCTAAATCAGGAACCATTGAACATATCATTTTACAAATTGTTCATCAACACCACTTTGCTTCTCAGGATACACAACACCCTGAATTGTACATGCTCAGTGTGCAGCTAAATGATGGAGCAAGAAATATGGGGACAGCTCGATGGAAGTAGGGTTGTAAGAAGGGCTGGAGGAGATCTTGGCCACATGCCCAGCAATGTACATGCACAGACGGCAGGGAGAGAAAATGGATAAGGGAGAGGAGATAGAGAGAGGGGGTGGGGAGGACAAAGACTGATTGCTCAGTTAGTGCAAGGACATCATAACCCACCACTGGAGGAGAGGAGAGCCAAGCAGATGCCAGATTTGACAACATTTGGCTTCTACTCCAGTTATTAAGGGTTCAAATCGACCACTGAGACAGAAACATCCTCCTGACCTGAGGGTAGTTTGGCGTGGGATGGGCGTGGGATGTTATATATATCTGTGATAGGGAGGGGAAAAGGACATAGGGATTCTACTGCTAATGAAAGTGTAAAAGAAAAGAAAAAACACATCCATATGTCATTCAGATGGATTCTGGGTGAGCACCTGCATGTTAAACTCCAAAGGAACACAAATCAACCCACAGCTGAAACAGCTCTCCCACATCACTGCATACTGTAGGGATGTTCAGCACAGATCCAACATTTTACTCCCATTTCAATTTATCAAATCTTATTCCCCCCCCCCCCCCCCATACATTGGTACAAATCCTATTTCCTGGAGTTTATACATAAACACAATCACAAGATCCTATTTGCCCTTCACAAAAAACAATTATGGTTTTGTACATTCCTCCCCGTAGGCCAATGAATATTAATACTTAATGAGGAAGGCTTTATGTTGGCCACAGGCAGTGTGTGCTGCTCGAATTTCAGTGGCATGTAGTGTTTCTTTATCGTTTACCTCAATAGATTTCCATGAAAGAGTTTTAACCTGCAGATACTAGACTTCAAAAAAAATTAAGGATTGTTCCTGTGTGCCAGTTGGGGCAGCAATGACTGGCGTTTCAGCAATTTGAACTTGCAGATACTAGACTTTAAAAAAAGTTAAGGATTGTTCTTGTGTGCCAGTTGGGGCAGCAATGACTGGCGTTTCAGCAATTAGTCTGGGCTTGAATTAGAAAGAAGGCTGTAAAAGTACAATTATAGGTTGTGCAGTACCTTTGTGGAAGCTGGTCATAAAAAACACTCCTGTACTACGTCAAGGCCACAGGTCTTAAAACGTGAAGGTACTATTTTTGCCGCAGTACTGCAGGTACCTGGGGGCTCAAGACCAATGGCCTCCCATTGTGCCGGGGACCAAACAAAATATTTTTGTGGTGCAGTTTACACCATAGCCTATTTTCTCCATGATAATGCAACACACACATGTAGAGATTGGCAGGATGACAGCTGACAGGTTCAAATGTAATCTATTCAAATTGAGATATGGAGATAAAATTTAGTAATTACAGTTAAACAAATTGAGCAAAATGAAATGGATGAAAAGGAATTATAACATTTAAATTCCTTACAAACACATGCAAACTGGAATTTTAAAAAGGAGTGCACGTTGTAGTAGTGGGTTTATGTCTGGTTTGTTTTTTCAATGTAGTATTGAATTGTGGATCATGGAATATCACTGGTATTGGCGACTTGATATCTAGTATAGCAACATCCCTGGTTGCAGCTCAATAATCTCTTACGGTAGTTTGGTAAATCCTTTAACTCCATTCCATTCTGTTGCATGCGTTTCTCTAGATGGTTAGTGCTACCGCTGTCCGTGTCATGACTAATGCAAGTCGCTGCTTGAGCTGACATAAGGTCCGTTGGTGTTACTTCCAGTGAGCCAGCACGAACACCAACACCGACTGCAAAGCACACCACTACTACTGTTGCTACACAAGGGATTGGACACGCCACTGACTTCACATGCAGGTGGCACGAAATGCAACGGGCCTCATCGGTCACAAGGGCAGACACTGCTGCTGTTCCCCTGTAGTCCTCTCTGTGTCTCAAGCTGAGAGGCGAGTGCCATGTCACGTTGATGGAAACAAGCCAGGAAACGGTCTCACCGGGATGTTGTGCTACTGTAATCAGACTCCAGCACATGAAATGGCGCTACTGAGTATTCAGAGGCTGCCTTACGTCTGCCATCATTGTTTTAAGGCCTGGCTCAGGTTGAACTCTTTGTAAAACTTGAAAAAATACATAAAGGGAATGATTGCCATTGACATTCTTCATTGACAATGGCTTCTACTAATTTTGTTCATCTGTGTGTATGAATTATACTTTTTTGGATGAATTTGAATAAAAAATTAAAACATTATCCAGTCTGATTGTAGCCAACGAGGGAGGCATTTAGCTTTTTTCTCATCTCTGTTGAGAATTGTATATGCGTGGTGCTGCTCGGGCAGGATGTATTGATTGGGTATTGAGAGAGACGTGTTGTTAATGCGTACCGTAAATGAGCTCAGAAAGGATATGATAACATGATATGCGATCAGTGCATAGATTTGTATACTTGCCGATTCCCTATCCAGCATTTAAGGTTTAAGTATTACTTGAATATTGGAAGGATGGATCAGCATTTAATATTATAAAATAGAAGTGGGAAAAAAGGATAAAGATAAAAAGCATTGTCCTGTACAAGATAGGAAATTGGGAATAATGTCTTCAATATAAAAAATTGGTGCCATGTTACATAAAAAAAAGGCAGATATTTAATTTCTAACAGCAAAAGAGCCTCATGAACCAGTGCTTCTTCAGAAAACTGAATGGCGCAGCACGTTGATTCTTTATTTGATTAGAGATCATTAAGAGGGAAGACAAGAGGAGCGATAATCTAATCAAGCCTCTCAGTGCGGAACACAACATCCTGCGGAAAGACGTTAAGTACATCTGATGCTCTATCCACAGAGACAGATCACTTCATTTACTCAAATGCCTATCACAATAATCTAATTCAAAACTTGTAATCACAATTTTAAAAAACATTTGAAGAAACCACCAGCTGATAATAGGCCTGTCGCGATAATCAATAAATTGACTTATCGTACGATAAATAAAAATGGACTCGATAACTTTTCTGAGCTCGATAAATACAAATTATTAATAAATTGCCGTTTACATGCGTGTTTGTTTACATAAGGATGTGACCAGCATTTTAGCCAGGCGCACTGTCTGCCGGCCCGGCGCGCTGTGAGAGGCGGGGCTCACACACAGCCCATGACACAGCCAGGTCAGGACACTCTGCGTGCAACAGTGTAGCAGCCAAATGAATAATATAGAGACAAGCAGGAGATAACGTGTGAATTACTCGAGGGGAATTTGAAGTTAAATGGAAGTGGTTGCAAAACCTAATACCACATCTCCGGTGTGGGAATATTGTGGATTTAAGCCAAATCAACGAGGCGAACCTACGGACTTGAATGAGCCGGGCGGTGTCGCATTTGTTTTAAAAAAGGTAGCAACAAAAGCTAGCAATACGACCAACCTTAAACTGCACCTGAAACACACCCACCCCCCCAGCTGGGAACAAACACGGCAGCTGGAGAGCCCCCACCTTCCCTACAGTTTGCAATCAAAGATGCATTTGCCCGACAATGCAAACATTTTGGTGTTCCTTGCTCGAAATCTTTGAAATACAGATCTGGGTCTATATATATCTATATATATATATATATATATATATATATATATATATATATATAGAGATATATATATAGAGATATATATATATAGAGATATATATATATATAGAGATATAGATATAGATATAGATATAGATATATATATCTATATATATATCTATATATCTATATATCTATCTTATATATATATAGAGAGAGAGAGAGCTCTGTTTTCCAGCCTGAGTCTATTTAAAGGTGGGGTAGGTCATTTTGGAGAAACCAGCTCGAGTGCGCGAGAATTTGAAAGTACACAACCGGAAAAAATCTGCCACTTCCTTACAGAGCCCCTCCTCCAACACACGAACATGACCAATGAGGGCACGAGATAAGTTTGTGCACAGATGGAAGGCTGACAGGCAGGTAGGCCATCCAGTTATTTTAGCCGGGCCGGCTAAAATGATTGGTCATGCTTTTTACAGTATTACGGCTTCCACAGATGAAATTTCTTTATGGATTTTTTGTCAAAGCACTTAAGATATTCATTGCTATCGGGATGTTAAGAGCATTCCATGGAATATAACAAGTATATCTCGAGTCGGTTTCTCAAACTTACCTACCCCACCTTTAATTATTGTTTTGGTTGTGTGTGATTTTAATTAAGTTCATTTATTATATATAATTTATATATTTGAATATTATTTCACATTTCATTTGCAATGTTGAATGTTCAATACAAAGTTCTGTTTTAAAGGATGTACTTGAATTATTATTATTATTATTATATATTATCATTATGTCAGTGGTCTAAAACGGTATAAAAACGGTGCCGACAATATTATCTTTTATCGCAATAATTTCCGGGAAAATGTATCGTCCCAACAAAATTAATTATCGTAACAGGCCTAGGCTGATAATATCTTACATTTTATCAAGTTGAAAGTCTTTACTAACAAGAGCTTTATTGTCCAAATTGCGCTTAATGAACCGGGCCAACAATGAAAACTATGACAGCGAGAAATGGTCATTTGATAGGAGCACTTAGAGAAAGTTTAGTCTAACTACAGCCCTCTCTTTCCACACCAGCAGCTCAGTATGAGGGATTATGAGTCCAGTCAATAGGACCCTGCCCTGGGGAGGTGGGGCTGCTTTCTGCCAGGGGGTCTGTTTGGGACAAAGCGGTAGTTCTTCAGTATCGCTGCCTCTCTTAAGGCCCTCTGTCTCAGGTTATTTCTGCTAACATGACTCACACTCATGAAGCGTAATCTGACTCAATAACGGCCCAAAGACCACAATGGACATGGTTCTGCGCTGCTCTCTTTCAGGGCATCACCATAGACAAAGTCGCCCTGTCATCCAGTTTGTAGGGGATTAAAAAGTGTAGATCTCACAGGAGGGGGAAGATAATTGTGAATGACTGAAACATTGCAGAGTGAAGAAAGAGGGGAAGTGTTATTGTAAGTAAATGTAAGTTCCAAACCGCATAACTTTATTCTAATGTCCGTGTTTGAGTGCTCTTAGGAGGCTGCACCATTGGCCGTAATTACACTTCATCACACCTGCTGCCTGTTTGTAATAAAAACTGCATACCTTGTTGTCTTTGAAACTGCCGAGGTGACTGGTTTTGTTGTTGCACCAACAGCTTTTGACGTGGTTGAAGTGCTGGGTTTTGAGGCAGTGGAGGCTGCTGCTCTGCTGGCAAGAGCTACAAAAAACATGGAAGAACATAAAATGAGTTTGCAGAGAAAGCCAAAAAAGCTGTAGAAAATATTTGTAAAGAATACTACACCCCCAGGAATGATCTTTTGTATATCAATAAATCACCTAGTGTTACCTTGACTTCTTGAAAAGAAACTCAATAATCTGACCAAATGATTGAGGAACTGTAGTAAAAGAGTCTCACGCTTGCCAGTAAAGTTAATTGCGAAGTATTATAATGTTAAAAAGTTTTTTTTAAATGAGTTTTGTGAAAGTTAATAACCGCAACCATCAAGCCTTTAATTCATTTTTGGATTCTTCATTCGCCGTGGAGGCATGCAAGACAAGTATTACTCATTTGATTTCAGTTGTCCGTATGTCAGACTAACCTGTGGTCTTGGGTCTCGCTACAGTCTCAGCTACTGGTTTCTTCTTAGGAATGCCATTCACGGTGGTTGGTTTGGTGCCATTTGTTGCTGTGGACGCAGCAGCAGAGGTAGTCCTAGCTGGTCCTACAGGCTTCTTGTCTGGGGCTTTAGATAGGGTCTTGACCATGGAGGAAGCTGCTGCCCCCACAGGTCGTTTCGGTACGCCCCCCGCTGCTGATGCTGCTTTTGTTGTAGTTGCCGTTTTCTTGGCTGCAGCTGCAGAGACATTCGCAGAGGACTTGACGTCGTTCACAGTGCGGTGCGAGGAAGTACCCGGCCTTGATCCAGAGGGTCCTGCAGATTTGGCTGCGGGCTGTGTTTTAGTTGAAACACTTTTTGGTTTGACTTTGGAGTCTGCTGCCACTGGCTTGCCATTGCCCTTGGGAATGGTCTCAGGGGCTACATCAATGGCCGCTTCCTCTGGTTGCGATGGGGCTGCCGCTTCCTCTGGTTGCGATGGGGCTTCCTCGGTTGTGTTGTCCTGCAATGAGGAGGGCTCTGCTACTGCTGCATCTTCAGTGGGCTCCGTGGTCTCCATGGTATCCCCATCCGGTTTCATTCCCCCCCCCTCCAAAAAAAAAAAAAAAAAAAAAGAAATTGTGGACGCTGACGTTGCTGCTTACAAAGTCCAGGGGCCCACACACTTCTTGATTGGTCACTTTCTCTCACACTGGGATAACCTGTTGAAGAAAAACAAGACATAACATCACAACCATGTTCACTCATAAATTCAAATAAAACATATTACTGTCAGCCAAAGGAAGTGCCATTTATGGCTAAGGGCGTCCAAGGAGTTGGGAGAGTTTAAAAAACAGGAAGTGAGCAGCAAGACATGCCAAAAAAACCACTCTCCTTAACAGTGACTATGCTGCACATCTAAGAGAACTACCACCGTCATAATGCATCAATAAATAAAATGAGGAATCGGTATCAACAATCCAGTTCCTTGTATTGTGGTATTTTAAGCTGAACATTTATGGGGCAGAAAAAGAAACTGATGACTGCTCCTAATGGCTTCCAGCATCTTGAATTAAAAAGAAAAAAAAAAACTGTGGTTTGGACCACTGAAAGCCAAGAGGGGGCTCTTGACATGACACACAGCCCACAGAGGGTGAGGGGAGGGAGGAGGCAGAGCACATGGCTCACTGGTCAGCCATTGTTTTTCTCCCTGTTAAGCAGATGCAGTTAGTAACCGTCACATCGGGCTTTGCTCGCTTCACCAAGTTGTATGTGCTTGGAGATTCCTTAATTGACAGTACTAAAGAAAAATTGTTAGAGTAGAGAGAACTGTGATGGCAAGACTTAGAGCGAGTAGATACATATATAAGACCTGAACTCATTAAATTCAGTCAACCTTTGTCTTGCTCTGGCCGGACGGAGCTCTTCCCAGATTCATTTTGGGTTTATTTCCCCCCTCAATCATGACCTCATCCACTACTCTCTATTCCTTAACCTCTGACCACAGAAGCTTCTCCCCCACCCCCTCCTGATTACCTCTCTTCTTCCCTATAGCCACTTGTTCCTCCCCTCCTCCCCCCACTGCCAAAAGATCTGCTTCCAGGAAATTGCTACACATATGGTCTACTCTAGCCAGTAAAAGCTCTGAATGGCAAAGAAACAGAGGCGTAAGAGATGGATTGAGGAGGAAATCAAAACAGAGTGAGTGGGATAGTTAAAGAGAAAATAAATAATAGAACATGACAGAGTAATGGACCAGAACAAAAGGAAGTGAGAGTAAAAGAGAATAGGTTTTTCCTACCATGCAAGAATGGCAAGAGTCATTAGGATACTGAAAAAAACATGACTGCAATTCAGAGAGAAAGCTGACTCAGCCCTAACAGAGCAAACGAATAAGAAGGTCATGGCCGTAGACGATATATATTTTCAAGCCATTAGGCAGATAACTAAAAACATCTTGGAAAAAGTTCCAATGAGTGATACTGAGTGCATTGATACAGCCTCAGTGAGTCTATACACAAATTGCCTTAAGGAAAAAGGATCCGTTTTATTTATCTCCAACAAAGCATTTCCCAAAGACATTTTAGAATGCAGTCTTTTAAAGAAGTCCAAAGGTCAGAACGTTTTTGTTTCACCGCTAGTTACACATTAACATAGGCAAGTAACGCAATACTGTGGCCCCTTTCCCAGATCCAAAAAATCTTGATACTCTTTCACTTATGTTTGAGAGGTAAAGAGGTCTCTGTAAGTTTAACTCTTAGGTACAGTGGGTAACTATAAGGGTACGTCCACACGGCAGCGTTAAAAAAAAAATCTTCCAACGCTTCTGCCCATTCACTTTGAATGGGGTGACTTCACTTTGCCTCACTTTTCGCCGAACTGCATTGTGGGAAGCAGAGCGGAGCTTTGCTGGCGTTTCAGGCTGCAAAAGTTGAGCAATGTTCAACTTTTGAAGCTTCGGTGGAAGCGTCAGCCAATCAAATCCCGTGTATGCTGGGAGAGACACACCGCAGGTCATTTCCTCATATTCCAAAAAATGGAGCAAGCTTCAACGCACGCCGCTGTGTGGACGGGCCGTAATGACTCATCAATCAAAAGAGAAGTGCATGTATTGACCACTTGTGGCCAATAGAGAAAGAATTATTGCTGATAAGCACTGAATGCACCTCCTGACTCCACACACACACCCCCACCAGTGCAAACAGTAACTGAAATCCCCCTAAACTCAAACTTTCCTTCCCTTTCGTACAGCCATGGAAAAGTTACAACTTGGTGCAAGTCTAGAATTGTTTCCTGCTGCTCTCTTCTGTTGTACTCCGGTCTCGGTATACGAATCTCACACAGAAAAGAAGCCGAGTCAAGCACAGTAACCTCTCTACCAACACAAAATGTGAAGCTTTGAGTCAATTAGATAATGTTCAGAGCTTTTGGGACAGTGTTGCACATATTCAATCCCATGTCATCACTCCATTCATATTAACGGGAAGGTTGGGAAGCAATTAGCAAATTGGGAACATCGAAAAGGTTAGGGATGTGGCTCCTCACTTGTCCTGCTAGATTTCAATCTTGATGGGTTGGTACATTCGTGTAAAATGTTTTTACATCAAGTCAGATTTTCTTTTTCAGAAACTCGAAGGGACACCTTGTCAATAAAAGCCAGTTTATTATTTAAGAAGGATATGATCCAAACGGAATTTTACCGACACTGAAGAGTCTGGCATGGTTTGCCAGTCCAGCTACTAATACCAGGGGCTTAGCAGATAGCATCACATCCCTCATGTGATGACCCCCTTCTGGGCAAGTAAAGGCATCATGTCTAACCAGCTGACACCGTGTGATGCAGCACAGAGGGCAAGTAAATGGATCATTAAAATCCCATCCACAGATAAGGGATGTTTTACTAAATTAGAGTCAGACTGCTCTGCAGAGCTGGTGCTTGTGTTCTATCCCCCAGACCACACTTACTGTTTAATGAATAATATCCAGCATTTTGGGATGCCACAAGTGTTTCACACCTAGCTGAGAACATGTTAAATCAGAGCACTCTTGTTCAATGTTAAAAAAAACTTAACATAAACACATTATTGGTCAAGATGAAGAGCCTCGTGCATTTTGATTAAAAATAAAGAAAATCTCTATTGTTTGCCATTCTCTCCGTTCTAATTTGCATAATAAATCCTAGTTCAATGAAGATTTAAACCATATTCAGGCCACAGCAAGCCCTCTTTCTATCTAGTGCCACATGGATAAGATGGCAATTAGCCTAATACCCCTTGTGACAATAACAATGTGTTGCAAGTATTGTGTTGATGCAGACAAAGAACCAAAGGGTGAAAAGACTGCAGCAGTTGAGTCCAGGCGGGAGAAGAGTGTATAAACGCAGCTATCACTTTGTAAGCTTGTTAGAGGGGGTCTGTCTAGACACAGAAAATACATAGATGCTATTTACATTCCACTTGTTGTAATAAAGATGTATGGTCTTTGTCATCATTAAATCCAACTCCTGACCTCTGTCTTGAGGCGGTTTAATTACATCTGTCCTTCCCCATCTCTCAGTCTCTGGTTGTACTCGTCCAGACATTACAAATGGTGCCTGACAAAATGGGTCATTTTTAATACCATGTCTAATACAAGCAGAGGGGGATTTAGCTGTGAGAGGATGGCAGGGGCTTGGAATGCATTGAGCAGACTGCTGGAGGTGGTGGTGGGTGGGGGGGGGGGGCTGTGGATACTGATGCTGGGGCTTAATGTCATCTGTAGATTTACCACTGACTGCAGTCATAGTGTTGTAAAACAGCAGAGATATTACACATTAGAACTGTAAAAGATTGATTGCGTGTCAAAACGCAAGTAGTGAGGGAAATCTAGGAACAAACATCAGCCATCTTAAGTTATCATTTGCCTTATTGTGCCCTCCAGTGTTACAGCTGAATCAGAATCACTTTAGATTACCACCAAAAGTTTGAACACAAATGTATTGGTAATTTAAAAAACATATTCCCATGTAAAATAAAAAAGGCATTTAAGTTGCGCAACCCATAGATTGTGCCTTAGATTTTTTTTATAAATATGACTTGCAATTCATTTTTAAACCATATTCGACCCATGCAATGGAATATAATAATCTACAACTATAACAGTAAATATTGTAATCATGATACTTTGAGGATCTATTAATCAAAACAATTAATCGTCCATCAAGGAATTATTTTCTGATTATCTGATGACAAAACATTCTTTTAGATGCAGCCATCCAACTTAGCCTCTTCAGTTGCCTGATGTTGAGTTTCTACTTTAAGATCCGAGTCATGCAGCATCTGCTCCAAGATGATAAATGGCAGAAAGTGAATGCCTGAAAGCAGCAGCGGTATCAAGAGCACATCTGACCCATCCACATTCCAGCTCTGCTGACTTCCTCAAGACTCCTCAGGGCTACAGTGACAGCTGGACGTGTGTGTGTAAGAGTAGGGAGTGAAAGGGTCATAGGGTCTAATGAATGCGTGTGCATTGTGTGTAAATAAGATGGGGCAGTGTTTAAGAAGTGTGAGCAAAGCATGTGTAGGATGAAAGTGTGCATCATGTGAAAAGGCAATTTGCACAAATTTACATGCAGACAAAAAAAAAAAAAAAAAAAAAAAAAAAAAACTTGGAATCCAGCAGCCCGCCACTTCCTGCCTTCTTTCAATACCACAGACACACTTTATTCATCATCTCAACATTCCTTAAGAGCCCCACCTTTAGACATTTTAAACAAACAAGGCTGATCTGGTGAACCTGACCATGGTGACATGTTTGGGAGTGTTTGGCAGATATTGTATGCAAGGGGGAATATGACAAATGACTACAAAGGAGATATGAAGCCCATCTGCATTTGCTTAGTATGTGTGTTTTCTGGACATGTACGCAAGAGAAATGCAGGCAGTTTTTAGTCTGAGGGGAAACAAATGTATGTGAATGAAAAAAATGTAAAGTAAGGAGAAGCTGTGTTTATGAAGTGTTATAAAGAGAGAAAAAATATGTGTGACAGTGTTTTGGAAAGGAAGGGACTTTCCTTACTCAGGGCTCAAGCTTCAGTCTTGGAACAGTTGATCAGATGCAGGGAAACTAAACTCTGATCCCAGTCTACCACCACCACTCCAAAAACCATTAAACTTTACAAGTCTCCTAAAACCAATTTAAGTTAAAAGTGGGATGGTGAATCAGGCAGCAGTCCTTTACACAC